GCCACACTTCCCCACATGTGTCGCCACACTTCCCCACATGTGTAGCCACACTTCCCCACATGTGTCGCCACACTTCCCCACATGTGTAGCCACACTTCCCCACATGTGTAGCCACACTCCCCACATGTAGCCACACTTCCACACATGTGTCGCCACACTTCCCCACATGTGTAGCCACACTTCCCCACATGTGTAGCCGCACTCCCCACATGTAGCCACACTTCCCCACATGTAGCCACACTTCCACACATGAGTCGCCACACTTCCCCACATGTGTCGCCACACTTCCCCACATGTGTCGCCACACTTCCCCACATGTGTCGCCACACTTCCACACATGTGTCGCCACACTTCCCCACATGTGTCGCCACACTTCCCCACATGTGTCGCCACACTTCCACACATGTGTCGCCACACTTCCCCACATGTGTCGCCACACTTCTCCACATGTGTCGCCACACTTCCCCACATGTGTAGCCACACTTCCCCACATGTGTCGCCACACTTCCCCACATGTGTAGCCACACTTCCCCACATGTGTAGCCACACTCCCCACATGTGTCGCCACACTTCCACACATGTGTCGCCACACTTCCCCACATTTGTCGCCACACTTCCACACATGTGTCGCCACACTTCCCCACATGTGTCGCCACACTTCCCCACATGTGTCGCCACACTTCCCCACATGTGTAGCCACACTTCCCCACATGTGTCGCCACACTTCCCCACATGTGTCGCCACACTTCCCCACATGTGTCGCCACACTTCCCCACATGTGTAGCCACACTTCCCCACATGTGTAGCCACACTCCCCACATGTAGCCACACTTCCACACATGTGTCGCCACACTTCCCCACATGTGTCGCCACACTTCCCCACATGTGTCGCCACACTTCCCCACATGTGTAGCCACACTTCCCCACATGTGTCGCCACACTTCCCCACATGTGTAGCCACACTTCCCCACATGTGTAGCCACACTCCCCACATGTAGCCACACTTCCACACATGTGTCGCCACACTTCCCCACATGTGTAGCCACACTTCCCCACATGTGTAGCCGCACTCCCCACATGTAGCCACACTTCCCCACATGTAGCCACACTTCCACACATGAGTCGCCACACTTCCCCACATGTGTCGCCACACTTCCCCACATGTGTCGCCACACTTCCCCACATGTGTCGCCACACTTCCACACATGTGTCGCCACACTTCCCCACATGTGTCGCCACACTTCCCCACATGTGTCGCCACACTTCCACACATGTGTCGCCACACTTCCACACATGTGTCGCCACACTTCCACACATGTGTCGCCACACTTCCACACATGTGTCGCCACACTTCCACACATGTGTCGCCACACTTCCATACATGTAGCCACACTTCCCCATATGTGTAGCCACACCCATCTAAAGTGTAGCCTTCTGTAGACACCAGTGGTTTTGTTTTAATTTACTCCCTTCTTTAAATAAAATATGCCAAAGAAAAGAATCAAATAATTCTTGGATATTTTGAATTCTTTTGTTATCAAAACCTTTTGTTAGTAATAATTTTGTTGTTAAGAGCGATTGCCAATTAATTAGTTTTTTTTCTGCTACATTATAGCGAGCACCTGCCTGATCGATATGTGAACACATCGATAGATTTTGTACACAAACAACGGACGCGAGGTTTTTATTAATTGACCAGTGTCTGATCAAGCTTGACAAGCTAGTTATATTGCTACAGGAGTATACTTGTGACATAGACTTTACTAGAGATACATGAGAATGGAGACTATTGGGTACAATTGACTGATATAGATAGTTCATCTTTAGAGATTGGTTTAGATCAGGGGTCTCCAAACTACGGCCCGCGGGCCGTATGCGGCCCGCGATGTCCTCTCATCCGGCCCGCGGAGATCTTTTTGTCCACGGAAAAACCTTTAGTTGGTGATGGCTGAGGAACTTTGCCCAGAATAATCAAAGACATGCCTGGTAGAAACTGGCCCCCGAACTGAAATTTGATAGTCAATGCGGCCCTCGGACTGAAATTTGATAGTCAATGCGGCCCTCGGACTGAAAAGTTTGGAGACCCCTGGTTTAGATGCTTAGGTTGATGAATTATTTAAAAAAAAAAAAATTATATCGGATGCGCTGAGAACGATAGAGATACGTTAAAAAAAATAGGTGTAAGACAATTTGTAAAGGAATTGATACATTGACAGCTATGTCTCAATTTGATGGCATAGTCATTTATAACTGACAACTTTATAAGGATGTCTAAATGACACACTAGGAAGTCAGCATTTTAGACCAAGACGTCATGTTTACAGACAAGAGTGTAGCACTGAGAAAATTTTAACGGAAAGACTATAACACTGACGTCATGTTGACAGAAAGATTATAACACTGACGTCATTTTGACAGAAAGATTATACCACTGACGTCATGTTGAAAGAAAGATTATAACACTGACGTCATGTTGGCAGAAAGATTATAACACTGACGTCATGTTGAAAGAAAGATTATAACACCGACGTCATGTTGACAGAAAGATTATAACACTGACGTCATGTTGACAGAAAGATTATAACACTGACGTCATGTTGAAAGAAAGATTATAACACTGACGTCATGTTGAAAGAAAGACTATAACACTGACGTCATGTTGAAAGAAAGATTATAACACTGACGTCATGTCGAAAGAAAGATTATAACACTGACGTCATGTTGAAAGAAAGATTATACCACTGACGTCATGTCGAAAGAAAGATTATACCACTGACGTCATGTTGAAAGAAAGATTATAACACTGACGTCATGTTGGCAGAAAGATTATAACACTGACGTCATGTTGAAAGCATTTTGACAGTAAAATAAAAAAAACTGACGTCATGTTGACAGAAAGATTATAACACCGACGTCATGTTGACAGAAAGATTATAACACTGACGTCATGTTGGCAGAAAGATTATAACACTGACGTCATGTTGAAAGAAAGATCATAACACCGACGTCATGTTGACAGAAAGATTATACCACTGACGTCATGTCGAAAGAAAGATTATACCACTGACGTCATGTTGAAAGAAAGATTATAACACTGACGTCATGTTGGCAGAAAGATTATAACACTGACGTCATGTTGAAAGCATTTTGACAGTAAAATAAAAAAAACTGACGTCATGTTGACAGAAAGATTATAACACCGACGTCATGTTGACAGAAAGATTATAACACTGACGTCATGTTGGCAGAAAGATTATAACACTGACGTCATGTTGAAAGAAAGATCATAACACCGACGTCATGTTGACAGAAAGATTATACCACTGACGTCATGTTGGCAGAAATATTATAACACTGACGTCATGTTGAAAGAAAGATCATAACACCGACGTCATGTTGACAGAAAGATTATACCACTGACGTCATGTTGGCAGAAAGATTATAACACTGACGTCATGTTGAAAGAAAGATTATAACACTGACGTCATGTTGACAGAAAGATTATAGAACTGACGTCATGTTGACAGAAAGATTATACCACTGACGTCATGTTGACAGAAAGATTATAGAACTGACGTCATGTCGACAGAAAGATTATACCACTGACGTCATGTTGACAGAAAGATTACAGCAGAAGTCGAGATCCCCTAAAACGATCTACAGACCAAGCAGACGACAGGAAATTCAAAATCTGCCATCCCCTCCCCCCCCCCCTCCCCGGGACCAGATAAAACGGGAAAAAGCCATTAGGTTCAGCGAAGTTTTGCTCCGGCCTTCAGACCTTGAAATGTGAACTACTCTCCTAGGCTGCCTGCCTACGTCACAGCCAATCAATGAAACGATGGGCAGGGGAGGGAAGCTAATGAGGGGACTCGTGTTTAATGGTTACCTCAGGGCTAGCTCGTCCAATGATTACTTTATCAGTTAATGCTTTTTATTCATGCATTTGTTGGTTAAACAAAGGAAAACAAATACTAGACGGAGCTTAGAGCTGGAATATTTAAACAAAAAAAAGAAAAAAGTAATTTTATTGCAGTTGAGCTGACTAGTACTACAATGAGTTATTTTAGGAGAAAATACTCTGAAACTGCTTTTAAAAAGATGATCCGTAAGAAATTATTGTGTTAAGAGCATCTAAACAGTTACCTTTTACACATGTCTTAATTAGCATATTTAATTTGGAAAGACAAATTAAACGCCTGTTCTTTTAAAATGACAGCTTCCAATGATACCGACCGTTAACTTGTTTTCTGTTTTACTTTTTTTGCCAAGTTATTTTTGTCTTTATGACTTCTGCTGGTAAAGACGAAAAACCAGCAACTGGTTTTTTTGTTGTCTTTATGATTTCCAGTGGTACAGAAGGAAAAAAAACTTTTGGCTCGTGAGTTTCACCTGCGTTGCTCGCGTGCCGTGAAATTTAAGAAGCCACTCAGTGAACCCCCCCACCCCCACACACTCCACGTGACCTCATACACATCAATATTTTTTCCAAGTCTTTGCTTGGGGGCGTGGTGGGAGTGAAGAAGGGGCGGGGGGGGGGGGGGGGTGGGGGTAATCTCGTTTGTGTTACCACTTACACAACCGTTTATTTTCTCCACGATCCTGGCCGAGGTTAGATTTGACTCATTGCATACACACCAATTAATTAAATTTATGTTCTCTAATAACAAATTCTCACCACAGTTAAATTTTTTTATTTGTTTTGAACAATTCGCTAAAAACGTTAGCCGTGTTTAACCGTGTAGTTCTATCTAATGTGTCAATTCTTCTTTCATACAGTACACAAGGCCGCACGCATCAACCAAGACCTTGTATTATGCGTGAACTCAAAAGAAAACCAATAACTAATCCCCCACTTCCCTTACTTAAAAATCGTTAACTCATTTGTAATCGTTATCTCAGCGTCTCTTGTCTTCCCCTGATTCCCACGAGTAGTCTCCCCTCTTATTTTATCACAGGCTTACTTCCCCTACCTCGCTTACTCCCCTTTCCCAACGCGAACGACGGTAGAACATGTTGCAGCTGAAATGTGTAACTATAAAGTTGGAAGTCACAATATGTTGCTAGAGCTAGCTCGGCTCACGGCTGTGGTGTGGTTCACCCGTGTGCTATGATTGAACTCACCATCAGCTAAACAACGGTCGAATATCTGGATATTATCCACATTGTAGGACCAACACTATAGGATATTTAACACACGTTGAAAAAAAAATGTTGCCTGTGTTGATTCTGTGTTTGTTTCTTCAAGTTTGTGCGGAGATGGATTTAAACGGTAAGCAGTGAGTAAATATAGATACAATGTCTACATCTTTCTTTTAATATACGTGGGCAAACAACTTTTAGTGATGGCATTAGTTCTTTATACGCGGGTGTTGTGTGATTGGTAGTGCATGGGATTAGTGCATTAATCCTATGTTTATTAGATGACAATTAAGGTGATAATTACTGCTAATTAGCGTGATAAATCGCGTCAAATTTTCCCGGTTTTGTTTATTTAGTGTTTTTTTTTAAATAAGTGGGTGGGAATTTTTTTTTTGACAAAATTGTTTTCACACGTAGGCGAGATTTGTGTGTGTGTGTATGTGTGTGTGTCGGGTGGGTTGTGTGAAGGTTATGGTGTGCTGTGTGATGGATGTGTTGTGTGAGGGATGTGTTGTGTGAGGGATGTGCTGTGTTGTGTGAGGGATGTTTTGAGCTGTGTGATGAATGTGTTGTGCTGTGTGAGGGATGTGTTGTGTTGTGTGAGGGATGTTTTGAGCTGTGTGATGGATGTGTTGTGTGAGGGATGTGCTGTGTTGTGTGAGGGATGTTTTGAGCTGTGTGATGGATGTGTTGTGTTGTGTGAGGGATGTGTTGTGTGAGGGATGTTTTGAGCTGTGTGATGAATGTGTTGTGCTGTGTGAGGTATGTGTTGTGTTGTGTGAGGGATGTGTTGTGCTGTGTGAGGTATGTGTTGTGTTGTGTGAGGGATGTGTTGTGTTGTGTGAGGGATGTGTTGTGTTGTGTGAGGGATGTGTTGTGTTGTGTGAGGGATGTGTTGTGTTGTGTGAGGGATGTGTTGTGTGAGGGATGTGTTGTGTTGTGTGAGGGATGTGTTGTGTTGTGTGAGGGATGTGTTGTGTTGTGTGAGGGATGTGTTGTGTTGTGTGAGGGATGTGTTGTGTGAGGGATGTGTTGTGTTGTGTGAGGGATGTGTTGTGTTGTGTGAGGGATGTGTTGTGTTGTGTGAGGGATGTGTTGTGTTGTGTGAGGGATGTGTTGTGTTGTGTGAGGGATGTGTTGTGTGAGGGATGTGTTGTGTTGTGTGAGGGATGTGTTGTGTTGTGTGAGGGATGTGTTGGTCTGTGTGAGGGATGTGTTGTGTGGGGGATATGTTTTGATATGTGAGGATTCATTTGTATTAGTGCTGTATTATATGATTCCTGTTTACAACGATGCAAATCATTCTGTTAAAATTATATGTGTTTGTATTTTGTATGTAGGGTGTAGGAAGGGGGGGGGGGTATGCGGAGCAGTAGAGCAGCAGATAAGTATCTATGTATTTGTGCGTCGCTGTATAAGTATGTTTGTATATGTTATGTTTGTAGGATTTCTTAGCAAGATGTTGTATGTTTCTATTTGAATATACAGTTACTATGTGTGCTGTATGTCTGGAACAAAGGTATTGTGTGGTACAGTTATATTTCTATGTGGGCTAGTAATATTTTATACATTTGTCTATAAGTGACTGTGGCTGACTGTGTGTGCTTGTGGCTATATGTCTCTAGTTTATGCATATATATATATATATATATATATATATATATATATATATATATATATATATATATATATATATATATATATATATATATATATATATATATATATATGGCCTATATATATATATGGCCTATATATATAGTACAAGTTGTTGATTGAGGCTGTTTTATTTACATTTCTGCGTGTATGTGTGTATGTGTACGTGTGTGTGCGTGTGTTTACCAGTTTAAACATTATAAAGAAACCCATAAATCCCAGTATTCTCAACAAATATTTAAATCCTTTATTTGTTCCCTTCACCCCCCCCCCCCCCCATTGATCAATGTGAGAAATGTTAAGACCAATGTGTCCTGATTTAATCACCAATCGATACTCGTGGTTTTGATAACATGAAACTTGAGGGCAGGGGGAGGATATGAGTCAATGAATACATTGGATAGGAAGCTAACAATTTACATTAAGGAGTCAAGGCTAGGATGACCTTAAGCTGGACAGGCTGCTCTATAACAGTAAGCCACCCTCCACCAAGCACCAATATTATTGTGTTGTTTCATTCTCACCCACCCCTCACTACGATCCCTTACACCATTACGCTTTCAGAGAAAATCTCAATACCTCATACTTGTCATCAGTTTTATGTTTACACTTAAAAAGGGGTGTCTCGCTACCCCACATACGTCCCACTCCCCCACACACGTCACATTCCCCCACACACGTTTCATTACTGACACATTTCCCACTCCCCCACACACGTCCCACTCCCCCACACACGTCACATTTCCCCACACACGTCTCATTACCGACACATTTCCCACTCCCCCACACACGTCACATTTCCCCACACACGTCTCATTACCGACACATTTCCCACTCCCCCACACACGTCCCACTCCCACTCACACATGCACGTGTCACTCCCCCCACACACACTTCCCAATCCCACACACACACACGTCCCACTCCAACACCCAAGTCTTCCTTCCAGACACAATATACCACTCCCCCACATCTGATTTCTACAGACAGTGGCCTTACTCTATTTTATTATCAGTCTGATAAGTACACCATAACACGATATTTCCTCGCTGAATGTTATTAAACTGGCCATATCCCAAAAACCAATTATTGCTTGAGATCTACATAATCACTATCTCGGCTTGGACCCCACCTACGATCCCTGCTGCTAAAAATCTCTACTAAGACCCCAACTAACATGTCTATTGTCCCACCTAAATATTTTGACTAAGACCCCAAATAACATGTCTATGATCCCACCTAAATATCTTGACTAAGACTCCAAATAACATGTCTATGATCCCACCTAAATATCTCTACTAAGACCCCAACTAACATGTCTATGATCCCACCTAAATATCTCTACTAAGATCCCAACTAACATGTCTATTGTCCCACCTAAATATCTCTACTAAGACCCCAACTAACATGTCTATTGTCCCACCTAAATATCTCTACTAAGACCACAACTAACATGTCTACGATCCCACCTAAATATCTCTACTAAGACCACAACTAACATGTCTATGATCCCACCTAAATATCTCTACTAAGACCCCAACTAACATGTCTATGATCCCACCTAAATATCTCTACTAAGACCCCAACTAACATGTCTATGATCCCACCTAAATATCTCTACTAAGACCCCAACTAACATGTCTATGATCCCACCTAAAAATCTCCACTAAGACCCCAACTAGCATGTCTATGATCCCACCTAAAAATCTCTACTAAGACCCCAACTAACATGTGTATGATCCCACCTTAAAATCTCTACTAAGACCCCAACTAACATGTCTATGATCCCACCTAAATATCTCTACTAAGACCCCAACTAACATGTCTATGATCCCACCTAAATATCTCTACCAAGACCCCAACTAACATGTCTATGGTCCCTGCTAAAAATCTCTACTAAGACCCCAACTAACATGTCTATGATCCCACCTAAAAATCTCTACTAACACCCCAACTAACATGTCTATGATCCCACCTAAATATCTCTACTAAGACCCCAACTAACATGTCTATGTTCCCACCTAAATATCTCTACTAAGACCCCAACTAACATGTCTATGATCCCACCTAAATATCTCTACCAAGACCCCAACTAACATGTCTATGGTCCTTGCTAAAAATCTCTACTAAGACCCCAACTAACATGTCTATGATCCAACCTAAAAATCTCTACTAACACCCCAACTAACATGTCTATGATCCCACCTAAATATCTCTACTAAGACCCCAACTAACATGTCTATGTTCCCACCTAAAAATCTCCACTAAGACCCCAACTAACATGTCTATGTTCCCACCTAAATATCTCTACTAAGAACCCAACTAACATGTCTATGATCCCACCTAAATATCTCTACTAAGACCCCAACTAACATGTCTATGATCCCACCTAAAAATCTCTACTAACACCCCAACTAACATGTCTATGATCCCACCTAAATATCTCTACTAAGACCCCAACTAACATGTCTATGATCCCACCTAAATATCTCCACTAAGACCCCAACTAACATGTCTATGATCCCACCTAAATATCTCTACTAAGACCCCAACTAACATGTCTATGATCCCACCTAAATATCTCTACTAAGACCCCAACTAACATGTCTATGTTCCCACCTAAATATCTCTACTAAGACCCCAACTAACATGTCTATGATCCCACCTAAATATCTCTACTAAGACCCCAACTAACATGTCTATGACCCCACCTAAATATCTCTACTAAGACCCCAAATAACATGTCTATGATCCCACCTAAATATCTCTACTAAGACCCCAACTAACATGTCTATGATCCCACCTAAATATCTCTACTAAGACCCCAAATAACATGTCTATGATCCCACCTAAAAATCTCTACTAAGACCCCAACTAACATGTCTATGACCCCACCTAAATATCTCTACTAAGACCCCAACTAACATGTCTATGATCCCACATAAAAATCTCTACTAAGACCCCAACTAACATGTCTATGGTCCCTGCTAAAAATCTCTACTAAGACCCCAACTAACATGTCTATGATCCCACCTAAATATCTCTACTAAGACCCCAAATAACATGTCTATGATCCCACCTAAATATCTCTACTAAGACCCCAACTAACATGTCTATGATCCCTGCTGCTAAATATCTCTACTAAGACCCCAACTAACATGTCTATGATCCCACCTAAATATCTCTACTAAGACCCCAACTAACATGTCTATGATCCCACCTAAATATCTCTACTAAGACCCCAACTAACATGTCTATGATCCCACCTAAATATCTCTACTAAGACCCCAACTAACATGTCTATGATCCCTGCTAAAAATCTCTACTAAGATCCCAACTAACATGTCTATGATCCCACCTAAATATCTCTACTAAGACCCCAACTAACATGTCTATGATCCCACCTAAAAATCTCTACTAAGACCCCAACTAACATGTCTATGATCCCACCTAAATATCTCTACTAAGACCCCA